TTTGGGACCAGCCCGAAACTTTTATAGCAGCCGTGCAGGCAAACTCTGTGTCGATCTTTCGGGGGGCCTTGATGTCGTCCAGCGCGTCCTCTAGCAAGGAAGGGATGATGGGGTCGTCGTAGAAATTGAAAAAAACCCAAAGATCGGAGCCAGGCGAAGTCCTCCTGGCGCTCCGATTCTGAGAGTCCCCACCTCTCTCTGTATTCTTCAGCAACCAGTGTGGTACAGCGGTCCACTTCAAAAATCTTGACTTGATCTACACAGAAACCCAAAATGGGTAGGAGAGACTTGCGTGAGGCCCAGACTCGTTTTCCTTGAGAGGCGTTAAGCGCAACCTGAGCCAATTCACGTTGAATTTTCGTTATCTTGAGCGCTTTCAAGAGGAGCTGACCCAAGGCGACCCTCGAGGCTTCGTTAAGTTCGGAGTTGAACCGTGTCCTGAGACTCTTGACCCAAAATGGCTCTTCGGCAAATCTCCTAAATCTCCTCGGGAGGGCCTGAGTCGCTTCATAAACCTGTCCCAACATGTTTTCCCAGAAATCGAAGGAGAGGGTGAGGTCCCTTGGATCGTGATACCTCACCACACATGAATCAGGCTGTTCTTCGTCATTTAGACGAGTAAGTTCCGCTGATTCGGGAAACAGGCCCTGGGCGATCTTCCTGACCTCCAAAATGTTTGTAGGAGTCCAAAGGAGCGGTCTTCTCTTACGAGCCCGCTGAGGGAAGGCCAGGACATCACATCCAATGAGGGCGTGGTCCCCAGGGACGCCCGCCCAGCAGGCAAAGCAGTCAAAAGATAGATCACCCCTGGCGAGAGCAATGTGATCGATCGTGCTGTTGGCTTGAGAGAGCGCCTGCTCACCATCGGGCTTCCTAGTGAATTGCATGGAAGTCTCCTGGAACCTGAGAGGGCACCAATGGAGGTCGAGGTGGGAACAGGCTTCGCAGAACGACCGAAATTTTTGATCTCCGTTGCCTTGATCAGCATTCATGTCCCCCAACCAGGAGAGAGTGGACCCCACAGGTCGGGATCGACCGAGTTGGATGGCACAGTTTAGAGAATCATGGAAAAAATCATGGGCAAGATGAGAGAAGAGAAAGGATCTGGCATGATGGTGGCATCCATCGAGACAGTCAGGACGAAGATCAACACGAATAGATCTCCAATCGCAGACAATGTCTTTCACGCGTTTTCTGCGGGGCTGGGATGGGGACATAGGACGCGGCTGCAAGGCATGATGGGGAAAGGCAAAGGATGCGAGCGGCAACTGGAGGACGCGTCGCCCGACCGATTCTGGACCCCACAGTGGAGGCTCGCGGGGGCTAAGAGTTATACTGATGGTTGTCTGGCTAATACTGAGCGCTCGCGAGGCGCGGGCCCAGGTGGAGCGGAACGCCTGGGCGCGCGTGCGTGCCCGCGGGGCCGCCCGCGCCACGAACGGCGCAGCGAGCGTTCCGTCGTCTCGCAGCTGAGCCCTGCCGCCTCTCTTGCGCCGAGCGAACTCACGCGCGGGCCGGCGCCCAGCGCTGGCTGGAAGAATGAAAGCTTCCGCGGGCTACGGCAGCGCGCGCGCCCGCGCGTTGCCAGAGCGCGCCGATGGCGCGAGCAGTGCCCTGTCGGGACCGTATACGCGAGACGCGCGAGGGACGACGATGTTGACCTGTCCGCGCGACCCCGAGGTATCGTCCGATATTTCAGAAGAGACAGGCATCCCCGTCAAGTGAGTTATGATGGAGCCAGCCAGGCGCTGGAGCTCCACATCGCTCGCCGGGGATTTCATCAACCGCGACGCCGACGCTAACACGCCCATGGCTTTCATCATGGGCTTGGCGCTTGGCTCGGAAACTTCATGTAATAACCGAACCAGCGCGTCGCGCGCCTTCCTCCCCCCCGCCCCTAGACGCGGCGCGAGCTCTGATATTTCCTTTCTGAGAGCGTCCAGGCGAACGGTCTCCGCCTCGATGTCGGACACGTCTTGCCCGCTTCGCGCCGACGCGAACGCCGCTGCGCTCGCGCGTCGCAGCCCTCGAGCCGACGCGCGCACGAGATGGCGGCGCGCGCGTCGACCGCGGCGCGGCCCGCGCGAGGGAGCCGCACGCAGCGCGCGCGCGCCCCTGCGCGGAGGCGCGCCTTCTTGGGCTTGCGCGCTCGGACTGCCGAAGAACTTCGGAGAGGTGCCCGCGATTTGCATGCCGCCAACCCCCTCGCGCATTGCAGTGCCGTTGCGGCGGCGCGCCGCGTCTGCGACGCTGAGTGCGCGGCCGCTCCTCTTGCGAAGCGCCGAGAATCTGGTTCGCCGCGCGCGCAAACTTGGACGCCATGTCTGCGTCGGCTTCAGCCTCGCCGACGAGATGGGCAAGTCGACCGCGGAAGCTTTGCGCGTCTGCAAAGCCCCCCCCCCCCCGCGCAACTCGCCGCGCCCCAGGGCGCCGACCCCCTGGGCTGGGCGAGGCGCCGCAAATCGCGGCGCCGAGCGGCTGCTCGTAGAGCCGCCATCTCGCGCTGGCTAACGACGCGAAGCGCGGGGCGAAAAGCAAATCTGGGCGTGCCCTGCGCTCCTTGGAAGGCGCGGACGTCTGGCCCGCTGCCGCTCGTATCCTGCCACGCAAGCGAAGGCCGCGCGCGCGCGGCAACGCGGTCGCGTTGGTCTGACCCGCGCGGCGAAATCATATTGCACGCGCACGGCCTCGGCCAGGCCAGTTCGGGCGCTCGCGCAATCCGCTTCGGGGCAGCCCGCGAGCGCCGTCGCGGGGCGACCGCCCACGCCCTGCTCGGCAGCCGCAGCGGCGGCGCCATGGAGCTGCACGAGCGCAGCGACGGCACACAACGCGCAGAGAGCCATGGCTGCAGCCCCCCCCCCCCTCGGAAAGCGCAGGCCTAAAGGCAAAAGAACCTGCCGCAATTCCGCCCCGGGCCGCGCGGGCTGATGGCGTGTGCAAATTTCTGCGTGCGCAGGACGCTTCGCCCATTCGGAGTCGGACCCGCGGCGTAATCGTTGAGCTTCGCCTTAAATGCCAGCGGCCGCCCTGCCTCGCTTGTCAAACGCTTGCGCGTCGCATCAGGCACTTGCCCCACAGGTTGCTGCATGCGTCCAACGCGCGCGCGCCTGCGTATGTCTGCGCGCTTCTTGCGGGTGGGCGAACTCGAGGGGGCGGGAATCGACTGGGAGCGGGATCCTGGTTTCCCTGAGCCACCGTCAATGCACTTCGCCCTGCGCCTCAAGAGATTTACTAAGAGCGCGGCCCAGAAAAAAAAGCAGGTTGCGCTGTCGCACTGCACTCTATGCTGGAGTTGCATGCGCCTCGGCAACAATGCACCGCCTCGGCGAGCGGAGAAGATTCGCTTCCCCATCGCTGCAGACCACGGGGTACAAGCTCGACACTGGGCGCTGCGTCCTGGGCGGCGTGCCCCTGTCCAGGATGCGCCGCGATGCGCCCAGACTGCGCCGCGCGCAATGGGCCCCTTAGCACGTGCTAGATTGGGGTCCACAGAGAACACTGCGATGTTCTGGGCCCACGCGCCAAAACCAGACGACAAATCCAACATCCACGGATCACGCGTGAAATTTCGCGGCTTGGCACCGCGCGCGCACGGTCGCCACTTCGCGCGTTTGCGAGCAGCCGCGCATAATGCAGCGCTCGACGCAGCGCGCAGCGATGTGAGACCAGGAGGACGATGCGTTTCCTACAGGGACGCCAATGAAAGGGACTGCTGAGACCGCGGCGTTGCATCTCATACTGACTTCGAGAAGTGCGAGTGACAGCGTCATGCGGCGACCCTGTGAGTGAAGCCGAGCAGACGTGAGAAATCGGCATCGCCGGTCTCAAAAGTTCCTTTCCCTGGGGTCCCTGTTGGAACCACGTGAGAAGGCGCGCTAGCATCGGACTGCGGCAATGGAGGAAACCAACCATGGAACATACGCGCGCATCGCCCTCGCCCTCGCGCCCCGTGGCGCAGCGAGGCCTGGTCAGCAGGGAAGCGGTGGAACACGTTTTTCCTGCTCGGCTGCAGCCCCCCCCCCGCCCCCTCCCCATGCAGACGTTCGCGCTGCCGGCGCCGTCGCCATTGCCAACCTGGACGTTATTGCAACTACCTGCTGTGGGTGCTCCTGCTGACACCCTTGCGCTTCTGCTTCAACCTCCAATTGAACTGATTATGCTGCAGCCGACGCGGCTGCAACTGCAGCTGCAGCTGCGCCAACTGCGGTCGCTCATGCAGCGCACTGGCTGAGCGTTGTGCTCGCGCAGGTGAAGACGCATCTCGCGGCGGCCGGGTAACGACCGCAGGGCTCGCCGTCGCCGACTATATGTCGCCCCCGAAGTCATCCGAGGCACAGGACGGCATCGCTGCGACGAAGGCAACGGACACGGGGCCCCTCGAAGCCATCGCGCAGGTCTGCAACGAAGTATGACCAGTGACGTTCATCGTCGGCGCAGGCGCCACTTCCTTCGCGCGCGGCGCTGCCTGCGCGGCCACGGCGGCGGCCGCCGGCGCGGCGGCGTCGTCGCCAGAGGCCGTCGCGATCATGGCCGAGGACCTCGTCTTTGAGGAGCACTGCGGCCCGTTGCGCGCAACCAGGAACGCAGGAAGTGCCAGCTGGAAGCGCTGACAGCCGCGCGAGCGCGCGAGGTCGACGGCGACCGCGGCGACGCGGACATTGATGTTTTCAGCATCGGCAGGAACTGCTGTTGGCATTCGCCTTTTCTTCCGACGCGATCTCGATTGGGCCGAGGCGCCCTGGGGCCAGGCTCCCGCCCTAGCAAATTCGAACGACCGCGACCCCGCGCCCCGCAGGCGATCGCGCGCGCGCAGCTCGCAGCGAGCCCTCGCCAATCGCAGCAACGCTGCCTTCCCGAGCACGAACGCCACTCGAAAGCAGCGTCTTCAACTCGCGATTGCCAGCTCGTCGCCGCGCAGCGCATACAAGTCGCGCAGGACACTCGCAGACCGATCGCGGGAACATGAAGGTGGCGCGACGTCGCAGCGCGGCGCTGCCATTGCCCGAACGCTCAGCGAGCTCCGCGAATTCTGCGCGGTGCCGGCGCTGGCCGGTGAATCGCAGACAACCCGGCCCGGCGTGGCCTAACGGAGCGGGCTCTCGTCGGCGGGCTCATCGCTCCCCAAGATCGGGACCCCAGGGGTCGGGGCGTCGTCGTACGACGCTGGGTCCTCCGCGGAGTCCATGCCTCCTGGCCCATGGTCGGGAACAGGGCAATCGCTCGGGAACGGGTTCGCCTCGTCGAAACTTGAATACTGCGGAGGCAATCGATGCTTCCACGGCGACGCCGCTTCGCCGCGCGCGGCACGTCCATCGACGGGCCAGGCCGTGTTCCAATAAAACGCTTGCGCACACACGGGCGGCGCAGACACCATCGAGCACGGGCCAGCGACGTCGCTGATCCAAAACCCAGGGCACGTGATCAGCGGCAGGATGCAGAGGTGGAGGCACATTGGTGCCCGGCCGCCCGCGGCGATGGGCTCTTCGCCCGACTGCGGCACTGTGCATCGGGGAAATATAGAAGAACACTGCATGCTCATGAACGCCGAGAAGCACCTGCGTCGCCCGAGCAACAGCGGCCGATCTAGGGCGCCCCGCAGCGACGTCGGAGGCGAGATGCGCTGCCCCGCGCTCTATACCTCGGCCGACGGCGCGACCCGGGTCGGGGCCGAACCAGAAGCGCTTCGACGGAGAGTGACATCGCGTCGCCCGTCTTCCCCACCTTTTCCGCGTAAGCGGCGGGGAAGCCAGCAATGATGCCGTCCAGGGCGGAATCCTTCGGCCCCCGGGCGCGCCGGCGCGCGCTGGCCCAGCGCCGCGACGCGCGTCGTCGGGTCGCCGTGACGTCTGCAAGCACGAAGTCGGCCATGGTGATCTGGGCAGGAACGCGCCGGAGAGGCCGCGTCGCGGGCGATCGCGACCCGCGGGCCGCCGCGCCGGGTACAGGACGGCACCGAAACAATTGTGGCCTGCGAGCGGGTACCCCGCCCCCGCGGAAGCCACCCCCAGCGGGGGATTCGAGCCCCGCGCGACGCGCAACACGAGCGAAGCAGAGAGCTGGCCCATGTTTTTCGGAGGAGCACTGCGAACCTAGCAACGCAAGGCAACCCAGCACGACGCAGCGCACGAGAAACTACGCGCCGCAACGCGCGCCAAGCGCGCTGCGCGGCAGTGGGCAACAAAACAAATCGCAGCATTTAAAAACCACTCGCCGCAACGCGCAACAACGCAAAGCAACTCAATGATGCACGGCGACCCGTGAGGCACGGCCACCGAACATAATCTACGCGCCCACCTTAGCTACTAGACTGGGTCCGAGGGACCAAAAGCATTGTTTTTGCTGGTTGGAGTGAACGTAAGGTTTAAGGTGAGAGAGAGAGCGGGTTTCCATAGGGAACAACATTGGGGCGGCTGGAGCCGCTCTCCCCCAAGGAGGGATGTATCCCCTTGACGGGAGGCCGACCGACCGAGGGGCGATGCATCCCTCTGGCCGATCCCCCCCCTTGTAACAGAGGGGAAATGCCTCCCTCATGCGCGACCAACCACGGAGGGGAGATGCATCCCTCATGCGCGAAGTGTCGCGCTCGAGGCTTCGTCGCTTCGCTTACCCTCTTGGCCCCCCCCCAGCTTGCTGAATGCAAACCCAGGGCGGGAGGGTGGGAAAAATCAAATCGCAAGGTGAGCGCGGCCACCGCGGCCCGTCGCCCCCCCTTCCTCGCAGCCCCTCGGCGCGGGCAGCGAAGGGGGGGGGCGCCCCCCCCCTCTCTTCGCCCCTGCGCCCCGAGCTGCATGCGCGGGCGGCGTTTCCAAGGTGTCCGCGCGCGTACATTATGAAGCACTCACCCATGCCTGCCCGGGCCTAAAGTGCACCCATAATCTACGCGCCCACCTTAGCTACTAGACTGGGTCCGAGGGACCAAAAGCATTGTTTTTGCTGGTTGGAGTGAACGTAAGGTTTAAGGTGAGAGAGAGCGGGTTTCCATAGGGAACAACATTGGGGCGGCTGGAGCCGCTCTCCCCCAAGGAGGGATGTATCCCCTTGACGGGAGGCCGACCGACCGAGGGGCGATGCATCCCTCTGGCCGATCCCCCCAACGCTGCTCACCCCCACGCCCCGCTCGCTCACCCAACGCTGTTCACTTACCGAGCAACACAATGTATAACGGCGCGTCGCAGCCACACGTGGGGGCTACCCGCGGGCGAAGCGCCATGCGCTCTCCAAGCTGCCCGTCCAAATACGACTGTCCACGCCGATTCGCTTTGCTGGAAATCGATGTCGCCTCACAAACGCGTCACTTCCTAGCTGCCTCGAAATCCCGTCCGACCAATTGGTCCCCGAAGGCGTGAATTCCCACCACGTGGTGATCGAACGGCGGCTCGCCAAGAAATTAGTGAAAGCAATCGACCGATCCAGCGCGGCCGGCACCGCGCAGCCCTTGACGTACGAATGCAGAGAGCTGGTATTGTCTATGAAATACAGCACGCGGCGGTTTGCCAGCCGCTTAGCGTGGCGCTGGTAGATGATGGGCGGCATCGCGCCCTCACACAGCGCGATGGGCTGGCCGCCCTGCCTCAAGCGCTCCTCACAGTAGCCCCACATGCCCAGCAGAGCCCCGTCAAAAACGCAGAAGCCAGCTTGCCGATAGCCGTCGGCGCAATCTAACAACACGTACCCCCCTGTCGGCCACGCGTCATTGTCAGCGCGCGCGTCAGAAGCAATGAGAATCAAAGGCTCGCTTCTCGGCGCGATCTCGGCCACGCGGCTCGGCATGTCTTGCAGAATTATATAAAAGAAATCGAGGGCGCGCACCAGGCAGTTGCTCAGGGTCCAAGGCGGCTGATCTGTGTACTGCCGTTGCCTCAGAGCCCCCATGCCTGCTTTGCCCACGCCGTGCCACGCCGCTCTGGCGATGAAGTTGAGGAGGCCTCTCAACTTGCTGGCGTCTCCGGGCGTGAGCCTGCCCTCGCTGCGCCTCGCCGCAATGAACGTCTTCGCCTTTTCGACGAGAGTGTCGCGCGCCCTGAAAGATATGACATTCGAGTCCAGCGAAGGGCCGAAGGTGTGCACGACGCCCAGAAAATCGCCGGACGGGCTCATCCTCCTCGTCTTCGAGGGAGCCACAGGCGTGCCCAACTCCGCGCAAAGGCACTGTGCGGCCTCCTGACCAGCGCCCCCAGCTGATTCAAAATCAATAATATTCGCGTCGTCCACATACATGGCAAGCAAAAGCGACAACACGCGGCGCTGCACTGCCTGCAGGAATCCTCCCCATCGCGCGAACTGCATGACTGACGCGGAGAAACCGAAAAGCAACGCCCACGCCACCTGGAACCTCCATTCTCCCGTGACAGGATCGCGGACCGCCACGACGTTCAAGCGCAAGTGATCTGGGTGCACTGGGACTGAGCGATAGGCCGACGGCAAATCTTCGCCCCCCGACACGAGCCTCTCGCGGGCCACGTCGGCACCAGCGTCCGCACACGCTTGCCGGACCACCCTCGCATCGATGACAGGCTGGAATGGCGTACACATTCTTTGCCGCTCACAAAATGCCGTCGCTTCGTTCTGCCTACCCCGACGCCCGTCGTCGATTCTCCTCCTTTTTCCAGAAGGCTGAATATGGCAAAACGCAGGAATCGGCGCCCACTGCCCCGCGCCGAACTCCGCATCAATGTCCGACTTGCTTCGCAGCGGTGCCGCCCAGCCTTTCTTGCACTCTTCCTCGCAGCTATCCCAGAGAAATTGGCCCTCCTCACTCGCGCGCTGGCGATCCAGTTCCGCCAGCAAGACTTTGGACTCTCCAAGCAGCGAGTGCACGGGCATGGGAGCTTCATACTCGGATGGTTCAAAAGCACCCGTATTCTCCATTACGCCAGTGATGCCAAAGCCGGTGACAAAGCGCAACGCCAGCTTTTGGTCTGGCCACCGCGCGAGCACCACCAGCACGGCAATGAGTCCGGCGTGAATATGCCCCGCCACGGCGCGCACAGTCGGACTCTGCCACTTCAAGAGCTCCGCCGTGAGGGGCTTGCACCGGCGACTAAGCTCTTGCAGCGCGTGCATGCTGCGCAACCGAAACTCCCTCAAGTCGCGCAGCTCTGCGGCGGTGGACTCCGCCGCAAATTTCAAGTCATGCGGAGCAGCAACGTCCTCATCGAACGGTAACTTCCCCCGCTTCGCGAAATCAACCGCGGCGCGGAAATGCTCTTCCTCATCCCGGCTGTGGCCCAGGAGAGGCGGCAACGCGTGCTTGGCCGAGAGCGCCCCGGCCTGTCGCCCCGCCGCGGCTTCCAGCATGGCAGACGTGCCCTGGCCTGCCGTGCTGCCAACTGGTCCAGCGATGCTGCGCTCGTCTAGCCACTTTGCGAAATCCACGAACGGCGACTGATTGACTAGATCTTCCAATGACGGAAAAACAAAACTGCTCAGCCATTCCCTGGGGAACATGCTGACGACGCACTGCCGCAATTGGCGCTGCGACCACATCACGGGGAAGTGCCTCGATACCCGCGGCGCCTGCGCAAACGAAGACGCGCCGTCGCTCGGCGCCCCGCGCTGATGCGCTCGCGCCTGCGGTGCCGACACATCGGACTCCTGCTCGCCCGATGACTGCGCTGATTGCGCCTGGCCGAGAACGCGCGCTTGCTGCGCGCGGAAACCTGGCTGGGCGCTGGGTGCGCCCGCCTGCGCTGGCGCAAAGAAGCCGTGCTCCGCTGGACAGGCAACGTGCCCCCCTGCCTCGGCGCTGTCCTCCGCCCTGGCGGGGCCCCTTCAATACTGCGACAACGCGCCCTGCTCCGGGATCGGCGCCTTGCGGCACACGGCGGCGCAGTGATTCCTCATGCCGCAGACGCGGCCGCTCTTGCTCACGATCATGGAGCATGCGTGCTCCAGATTCTTCGGGCAGGGCTCCGGGCACGACCCCCGATTGAAATTCTTGCACAGCTCCTTTCCGTTCTTGAGGTGGGTCGCCAAACCGGTGCTCGATCCCTTCTGCGCGCCCTTGGGGTTGCGCTGCCCGCGCCCTGCACCCGCGCCTCCCTGCTGCGCCGCAGGTGGCGGCGGGGCGCCCCGCGGGGCTCCGCGCGCGAAGTCCGCGGCAGGCCGCGCGTCGGGGGCTGGTGCGAAGCCGCGTGCGGGGATCTCCCACATGTGCTCCCTCCTTTCGAAGACATCCTTGATGATCTTTCCCAGCGACATGGACGTGCGGCGATGCCTGCACGCCGGTGGAACGTTCGCGACACTAGCCCCTCGCAGCTCGCGGATCGCGGCGCGCCTGTCAACCCACTGCTGTCGCTCCTCCTCATCCCGCTGTTGCAGCCACTGGAGGGCCTGACTCGGGGGAAGGATGGTGGCACACTGTGCGAGCCTCCTGTGGTAGGCGAGCACGACATCCAGCGGCACCTGACGCGCGACGGACCGCCGGTTGCCGCGCGCGATGCACCGCGTTCGCGCCTCGACGTAATCCGTGCTGTCGCGATCCATTGCCTCTGGTTCCGCTGGCTGCGGATCCAACTGGACGACGCCTGCACGCGCCGCGCGCGCTGGAAACGCCAGCGTCGCGATGCACAGCGCGCTGTTGCGCCTGCACGCGCGTACGCCAGCATCAGTGTGTGATGCAAATTGACATACGTTGCCACGTCTCTGCGCGGTTCCGTGTCGAATTCGTTCGCTTGCTCCCCTGTGACGAGGACTAGCCCCTCCGCAATGCGCTGCCGCTTCCTCGTCATGGTCAGCTGATGCGTCAACGTCTTCACGCGGAAAACCGAATGCACCTGCGGACGCGCGCGCGAACGACCGCGCGGAGACGCGCGCAGCGCGCACAACGCCAACGCGTGCCTGCAGCAAACGCCGCGACAGCTCCTTTGAGATTCTGCTCACCAAGTGATCGCACGGCTCAGTCTTGACCCCGAACCCCAGGCGATACCTCGCGTAAAACTTGGCGCGGATGTCTTTCAGGTCACTGTT